GGCTAATTTTTGTATTTTTAGTAGAGATGGGATTTCACCATATTGGCCAGGCTGGTCACAAACTCCTGACCTCAAGGGATGCACCCACCTTGGCCTGCCAAAGTGCTGGGATTACAGGCGTGAGCCACTGTGCCCAGCCTATAGTACTGTTTTATATTTTGCTTTTGCCACTTAATATATCTGGCTTTCCATGAGAGTCCATCAAGAGATGTCTAGGGTGATTCAAAAGCTGTGGAATCTTCACTGTGTGGATGCAGCTCCCTACTTGTGGCAGCTAGGTTTGACCACCTATCTTTTTCTTTTTTTTTCTTTTTCTTTCTTTTTTTTTTAGAGACAGAGGCTTGCTCTGTCTCTCAGGCTGGAGTGCAGTGGTACGATCATAGCTCACTGCAGCCTTGACCTCCTGGGCTCAAGCGATCCTTCCACCTCAACATCCCAAGTAGCTGGGACTACAGGCATGTGCCCACTAAGCCTGGATAATTAAAAAGTTTTTTTTGTAGAGATGGGAGTCTTACTGTGTTGCTCAGGCTTGTCATGAACTCCTGTCCTCAAACAATCCACCTACGCTGGCCTCCCAAAGTGCTGGGATTACAGGCATGAGCCACTGCACCCAGCCTTGACCTCCTCTTAAAAAGAGACCCCAACTTTCTTTTCACTCCAAGATTGCAATTTTGTAGGAAATCACCCTGTTTTAAAAAAAAGAACAGGAAGGCCAAGTGCAGTGGCTCATGCCTGTGAATCCCAGCACTTCGGGAGGCTGAAGCAGGCAGATCACGAGGTCAGGAGTTCGAGACCAGCGTGAGCAACATGGTGAAACCCTGTGTCTACTAAAAATACAAAAATTAGCTGGGCATGGTAGCGCATGTTTGTAATCCTAGCTACTAACAGGGCTGAGGCAGGAGAATCGCCTGAACCTGGGAAGTGGAGGTTGCAATGAGCTGAGACTACGCCATTGCACTCCAGCCTGGGCGACAGAGTGAGACTCCATCTCAAACAAACAAGCAAACAAACAAACAACAAAACCCCAGAAAAACCAATTACATCATTAAATAAATGAAGAGCAGGAAGAATAAGTGAAGATAGGAAATGGCCAAATCTATGAACCTTAAATTTCCCTTCTCCTTGCTAGACAGTCACATTGACCTCTAAACCCTCCACCAAATACTTGGTTTCAGTTCAACTTTAAACCCTTCCATTTTGAACCAAATAAGAATAACTGCTCCCTATCAACCCCTCTCCCTGCCACCAGCTTCTCCTTAGCATGACTGGGATATGCTGAATTTTCAAAAGGAAACTTATTAAGTAGAAACTGATCCACAGGAAAAAAGACTAAAGAGATAATGAAGGAAACCCAGTGGAACAGCTGAGAGTATGACACACGGTGTCTCATCCCGGGACGCCAGCCATGGAATCACTCTTCCCCTCCAGCCTGTCTCAGCTGTGGGGTGGGGGCAGACAGCAGCCTGGAAGCCAGTTACCTCCCTGCTGTGGTCAGGAGGAATTGAGAGAGAAGCAGCTGGGATCAGCCCTTGCCAGCTAGAGTTGTTGCACTAGTGGCTCTATCGAGGCGCTTTAATGTAGGAGGGGACTCCTGCCCTGGTGTCTCAGGCTATACTCCACAGAGCCTGCAGTCCCTTGGCCCAAAGTCATGATGTGGTCACCCAGGAGGAACAAGGGCTTGCATGCAGAATAGCCCCAGGTAAGCCCTGGCCCTGAGCTTGACCTTTTAGCCTGCATCTTGACATTCTCAGCCCAGGCTCCAGGCTCCAGGCTCAGCCGGGAGTGGGTGTGACTATTTCTCTCTCTCTCTTTTTTTTTTTTTTTTTTTCAGCCCAGGCTCCAGGCTCCAGGCTCAGCCGGGAGTGGGTGTGACTATTTCTCTCTCTCTCTTTTTTTTTTTTTTTTTTGAGATGGAGTCTCGCTCGGTTTCCCAGGCCGGAGTGCAGTGGTGCGATCTCGGCTCACTGCAAGCTCCGCCGCCTCCTGGGTTCCCACCATTCTCCTGCCTCAGCCTCCTGAGTAGCTGGGACTATAGGCGTCTGCCACCACCCCCGGCTAATTTTTTTGTGTGTTTTTAGTAGAGACGGGGTTTCACCGTGTTAGCCAGGATGGTCTCAATCTCCTGACCTCTTGATCCACCTGCCTCGGTCTCCCAAAGTGCTGGGATTACAGGTGTGAGCCACCGTGCCTGGCCGGGTATGGCTCTTTCTAGACCTGGGGTCCAAGGATGCCCTGCTAACCTCCAGACTTAGCAAATATCTTCAAGAGCTTTTCAGAGAACTTCCAGCACCACCTGGGTCTATGGTGCTGCTGGGGCCTGAATCTAGAACCACAGTAGTATTAAAGCAGGATGAATCTGGGGTCACAGAAGCCCTCTTGGCTATAACCATACGCCCAGGGAGGGGGAACCCCCGGCAGGCCCTTACCTGGGAATCAGGCTGCACCTTACCTATTCCTACCAGATAAGCCTCTTTCCTTTTTAGTAAAGACATCTAGAGAGGCAAACACCAATACATCCTTAGACAACCCATTTTGGGAGTTAAGTTGCAACACCTTCAGAAAATCATCTTTCTGTCTTAAGATTTCCAAGATGCTCAAAGGACTGATTGTAACTCACTCTGGTCATCGTGTCAGACAAAGTGAAACTGAACTTCTTCAAGGATGCAGTCTGTTGTCCTTCCTAAGTGCCTCAGGCTACAATTACATCACATTTCCTCAATGTTTGTTGGATGGATGGGTGGATGAGTGTTTTGATGAATGATTGAATGGATGGATGGATATTTGGATATTTGGTTGGGTGGATGAGTGGATGGATGGATGAATGGATGGATGTTTGGTTGATGGATGGAGGGATGGATGTTTGGGTAGGTGGATGAATGTTTGGATGTTTGGATTGATGGATAGATGTTTGGATGGATGGATAGGTGTATGGATGTTTGGATAGGTGGATGAATGTTTGGATTGATGGATAGATGTTTGGATGGAGGGATGGGTGGATGAATGTTTGGATGTTTGGGTTGATGGATAGATGTTTGGATGGATGGGTAGATATTTGGATGGATGGATGGGTGTTTAGATGGATGAATGTTTGGATGGATGTATGGATGGATGAATGGATAGATGGATGAATGGATAGATGGATGGATGGACTTCTAATAATGGCACATGAAGTCACTAGGGGAAAAATGATGTTTTGATTTGAGAGTTTGAGGAAGAGGAGTGGAGCCTGAGGAGGAAGATTTTTGGGTGACAGCCTCAGCAAAATGTGTTTCAGCTGCTCATGGATATGGTGCCATTACTGAGATGGCGAAGGCTTTGGGTGGAAATTCTTTTTTTTTGAGACGGAGTCTTGCTCTGTCGCCTAGGCTGGAGTGCAGTGGCCTGATCTCGGCTCACTGCAAGCTCCGCCTCCCGGGTTCACGCCATTCTCCTGCCTCAGCCTCCTGAGTAGCTGGGACTACAGGCGCCCGCCACCTCGCCCGGCTAGTTTTTTTTTTTTTTTTTTTTTTTTTGTATTTTTTAGTAGAGATGGGGTTTCACTGTGTTAGCCAGGATGGTCTCGATCTCCTGACCTCGTGATCTGCCCGTCTCAGCCTCCCAAAGTGCTGGGATTACAGGCTTGAGCCACCGCGCCCGGCCTGGGTAGAAATTCTAACGTCAGAAATGTGGTCTCTGTGCCTTTGTCTAAGTCGTAATGTGTATTGAGAGCTGGGCAGGGTGGAGTAGCCACCCCCCTCCTCATCAAAAGAAGAGCAGAAGATCTGCAGTCACTCCTTCCTCCCTGCGCTCACCCCATCCCCAGCACTCACGTAGATCCTCATGTTGGTGTAGCGTTGGCGCAGATTGTCTAGGACACTGGCCTCATTCAGGAAGGTCATGTCTGCCATGTCGCTGGCCTGGTAGAATTTGGGTGGGTTCATCTGCTGGATATCATCCTTCTTCATAGTGAGTGTCTGGGGAGGGTCAAGACACAGCAGCACAGGCATCAGGAAATAGTGCCGTACCAGGCATGGGGCATCTGGCCCAGGTCACCACACACCCTCTGGAGTCCCAGAAGGAGATGGAGTGGAGCATGCAGTGGACCCAAGTCCTGGTCCAGCCACATCCCCTTGCGTGTCCTGGGATGGGGAGGCACTTCTGAGGCCAATGCAGCTTCAACTGCCTCCTCTCTGAAGTTGAGATGACAGTAGTCTCCTTGGCAGGTTGCTGGGAGAATTATATGAACTGAAGTGGAATCATGTAAAAATACCTTATAAACTATGACGTTCCCTCCCTATGTTACAGAGAACCTCTGGGCTGTGCTTCTTTTCCAGCCAAATCCATCCTGATAGATGATCAGAGCTTACTCTTTGATCCCATGAACACTTTGCAAAGATGTGACTCTTGGCTCTCTGCCTTGAGAGTTAGCGGTGATTTCGAAATAGCAATGAGCTTTTCCATTTCACTTTTCTTTTTTTTTTTTAAAGACTAAGTGCAGTAATGAGAAGGGTGGGTGGAAGAGTGGAACAAGGATTTTGATCTGTAACTGACCATGAACAGTTAATTGAGATAACTCACTACCTTCAGACCAGCCAAACTTCTCCATTTTTAATTTTTAATTTAATTTTATTTTTTGACACATAATCTTGCTCTGTTGCCCAGGCTGGAGTGCAGTGGTACAATCACAGCTCACTGCAGCTTCGATCTCTTGGGCTCAAGTCATCCTCCTGCCTCAGCCTCCCGATTAGCTGGGACTACAGGTGCACACCACCACGCCTGGCTAATTTTAAACTTTTTTTTCTAGAGACAAGGTCTTGCTATGTTGCCTATGCTGGTCTTAAACTCTTGGCCTCCAATGATCCTCCCATCTTGGCCCCCAAAAGTGTTACAGGTGTGAGCCACCACATTGTAGCCACTGTTCCATTTGAAAAAAAGACATTCCCTTGCTCCCTCCAAGCCACCGTCAAGGATAAAACCGAAAGCAAGCAAGAAAAGAAGAAAACAAACAAAACAGCAATGAGTGTTCATCAGTAGGTGTGTTTGCGCCTGTGCCATGTGGGCAGATCTCTTCCCCATGCTGCACCCCAATTTCTTCATCTATAAATGAAAACTAGGCCGGGTGCAGTGGCTCACGCCTGTAATCCCAGCGCTTTGGGAGGCCTAGGTGGGTGGACCACTTGAGGTCAGGATTTCAAGACCAGCCTGGCCAACATGGCGAAACCCTGTCTCTACTAAAAATACAAAAATTAGCTGGGCGTGGTCGCGCACTCCTGTAATCCCAGCTACTTGGGAGGCTGGGGCAGGAGAATTGTTTGAACCCAGGGGGCGGGGGTTGCAGTGAGCCGAGATCATGCCGCTGCACTCCAGCCTGGGTGACAGAGCAAGAAAAAAACAAAACAAAAAAACAAAAACTAGCGCCAGCTCTGAAGAAGCTCCAGCATCTGGGATCAAAGCTGAAGACACACGAGCTGGAAAACAAGTATCTTTTGGCTGCCTGCAGCCTTAGATGTGAGGCCTGAATCCATACTGGGATTTCTGGGACTTTTAATAATTTATTAGTACAATAGGCAGATAATTTGAAATCTTGACAGTTCTGGAAAATCCACCCCCACTCCCCGTAATGGTTACCACACCCTTAGTAAATCAAGCTGTTTTTTGTTTGTTTTTGTTTTTCTGAGACAGAGTCTCACTCTGTCACTCATGCTGGAGTGCAGTGGCATGATCTCAGCTCACTGCAACCTCCGCCTCCTGGGTTCAAGCAATTCTGCCTCAGCCTCTCGAGTAGCTGGGATTACAGGCGCAGGCCACCACGCCCGACTAATTTTTGTATTTTTGGTAGAGATGGGGTTTCACCATGTTGGCCAGGCTGGTCTGAAACTCCTGACCTCAGGTGATCCTCCCTGCCCAGCCTCCCAAAGTGGTGGGATTACAGGCATGAGCCACCATGCCTGGCCTCAAGCTGGGTTTGGGGTTTCCAGATCTCTGGTCCTCGTCCATGTGCAGACACTTCACTTTCAGTAGAGGAATGGAGAACTTGGCCTTTATTTTAGGAGCCAGGGAAGTCAGCGTCGTAGGCTCCATCTTTTCTGTCCCAAACCCGGCTGGCCAGCCCTGTCTGCTGCAGATACTCAAGGAAATTGTGTTGTCCTTAAATGTGCATCCAAACTTGGATGCACTCTGGGTCTCCACTATCATCACCCATCATTTCTCACAACACTGCAGCACTCTCCTCTCCGAAAACTATGTTTCTCCTGCTTGACTTTCATTCAAACCCATTATAGCCGCATCTTTTCACCACTGCTCCTCTCAAAGGCAGGAACAGATAAAAATATAGCTGTTGCCAGTTCTGATCACTGAGGTCTCTGGCTTCCTTTTTTTTTTGAGACAACGTTTCTC